CCCCCCCCCCCCCCCACCTTAGACTTATAACAAAAGTCACTGCAGCCAAAGACGGTTTTCTTTTTAACTCATAAACAATTAACCGTATCATTTTGATAAAGAAAAATAGCACCTCGTCAAACTCATAATGGAAGGTCGCACCTTATCGACACTGTTCTGGTCTAATTCAAATCCTGAAGGAATCCCGACATCCATGACCGCCATACCCGAGCTCTGATCGTTCTCAGTCCACTTGGAACACGCTTGCACTTCGATCTCATAATCAGTTTCCCGGATGACTTCCAAGAGGAAATCAAACGAGTTTTCGTCAGGGGCTTTGTCCACGTTATAAGTGACACCCACCTGTAGGGGAATACTAAAGTTATCATCGGTCATACAGTTATATAGTCTCCTTCGTAGCTGTCGTTTGGTCCAGTTTCGTAACACGCTCACTTAACCACCTCGGTGACGGGAGACCAACAGTTACATAACAGCGGAGTAATACACAATCTAATTTTCTATTTTCCTTTCAAGCTGCGATACATTAGCGAAGAGAATTTCATGTGTTATCAAGATATCAGCCCTTAGCTAACATGCGTCTCCTTTGGTCGATTTTCTTCCAGATGGTGCATTGAAAACGTGAGAAGAAGAAAGATTTGGACTATTTCTAGGAATTTAAAGAATAAGCCTGATGAGCTTGTGTTCGAGGCTCGTGGTTTTTTTTTTTTTTCTAAGGATGCCGCCTTGAAACATTCCTATCTCCGAAGAAACTAAATGACAAAAACAAATTCTCAAGCCTCTAGCCTTAAATGTTCAGACTATCGAACGCTTTCATTGCAGTACTGTAAACCAGTTGAATCTAACCTGTAACATTCCTACTCCACGGCCATCTGCCGATACTTTCAGAGAGCCCGCTGCAGCCACATCTGGAATCTGTTCACAACAAAATTTTAAGTCAAACCTTTCCCAAATTGTATGGACTAACTCTGCATGTTTCACAATCTACAATAAGTTATCAAAATAAGTTATTTACCGCTCTATGTTGGTCCGTATGTGAGACAACTTTGCCCTAGTTCTCGAGTTAGGCGCTCAGTCTTCGGCTTCGAGCCGCACACGAGACCTCGAACAAAGTTTTCCCATACGGACCTCCCGCCCGATAAATAACACACATAAATATGTTTTGATTCAAGAAGAAATTACGACGTTACCTCTACTAATTGTAGCACCATGGAGTTTTGTTGATTGACAGTTACAGTTTTGCTGAAGAACGGATCCCCAGTGAGACTCAAACGAACTGTGAAGTCGATATCAGGTGCATAAATTAACTCGGCGAACTCCGAGAGGGCCTGGAGTCCAATCACCGTGTCCTGAAAGAAGATACGTTATAATCACAGTTATTAAAAACTGGATCATTGGATGATGCAATTCCCGAGCTTTCATTGGCTTAGCCATCATGGGTTATGAGCCATTATACCATGCTCTACAAATTTGGTGCGCGATTCTTACAAAAACAATTTGGGAAGACTTGTCCATATTTTGGGGCGTTTTTCATGAACACATCATTCCACCAACGTTTGTGGAATATGAGATGATTATAGCCAACTCGGACTAACGGGCCTCGTCAGCTATCTGTCATCTAATATCCAATCAGAACAAAGGCTAACATAACTGTTTGCCAAAGAGAACTCAAAATGAAAACAAGGATATTCTTTGAGGCGCGGCGCGGGAAACGCCGGTGAATGACCAAGTCGCTATTGTTTTCAATTTTGTACCTTTTTGGCTGAGAGGATGGTGCGAGTGTTTTTGGACCAATCACAGAACAAAGTTAAGCTAAAGCGAAACAATTCCGGATTACTTCCGACATTCAATTGAAAATTGCTCTATAAACTCAATTGATCTTAAAAAAAAAAAAAGCAAAAAAAACTACAAAAACTGCACCACACCTGAGTTGACGAGTATCCTCCGAGCGAGTTTCTCTGCTGAGATAACCAGCGGGAGATGGGCAGACCAACGCTTATATCCTTGTTGAGTGTGAAAGCTAGCAGAGCGTAAGCAGTGATTTCTATGTCAGCTGATCGCGGACGGTAATATGGGCGCCACCACGGATTGTCGTTTGGTTTGTTGCCTTCCGGTTTTTCTTGCCAGTAAATAAGACCATCTGAAATTCATGGTGTGGAATATGAAGAGTGTATCAAATTTCATGACCTCAAAAAGTTGTAATCTAACAGGCTAAGCAGACGTTTACTACTGATCGATGCACGGTCTGAGAGGTGCCTAGAATTTTCCGCATGGGAAGAAACTTTCGATTACAACATAAATAACCCTTCTGGATCTTTCATGCCGGGCTTATTCCGATTCAATTAGCATGAAGCGTACTGTTCCTCCCCCCTGGATGGCTGCAAGTTCATCGTAGACCCCCCCCCTCCCTACCACTCTAACCATTAGACCGCCATGTCTCCTACACTTAAGACAAAGGAAGCCTTCTAAGGAAAAGGAGCTTTGTAGGCTTGGTTTCACAGATTCCGCTCTCTTTCCCATGGCATTCTTCACTTCCCTTGTCCGTTTACGTTCACGACCTCTGCGCATGCTCAACTTATACCTTTTTCTACGGCCAATTTACGCAGTTCCGTGAGTGCTTTCCACTTCGTGGCGCTGCCGACCAGCCCCAGGGCGTATGCGGTGATTGCTAACGTGTAAGCGTCTTGTATATCACTTGACATAGCTTGAACCTTGCCTTCCAAGAAACTTATGGCTCCATTCTTGGCGTTAATAACAGTCTGAAATCAAAATGGGTCACCTTTAAAGATATTTAAAACTCGGAATTTAAGGCATGCTTTTTTGACGCCCTCCAAACACTCTTTATTACAAAATTAGTCGGTTAACTGTGCTCGATCAAAGTAATTAAGTCGCGGAAAACACTGCACGCGAAAACGTTTTTCTTCTTTATTCTACACGAGCCTTCGCCGATAAAAACTCTCAGGAAACAGCTGGTTACGCCATTACAGGGGGGTGAAATTAGGAGCTCGCTTCAATAATGAGGGTAGGACGGGGAGTACGTTGGGCCTTACTACAACATTTCACTTATAACAACTATACCCTTCGCGAATAATAATATTTTCACAGTAAAGTCATCTCCACAAAGAAGTATGTAACGTTAACTTTTCGCGCTTTCGTAATTTTCTAATACAATTATCCTCATTTTAAAGAAGAGCTAATTTATGGGCAAAGCATCCTATTTGTAATTACGATGCACATTATAACTTATAAAACGGTGAACACAATCTCTCTTTACCCTTCCCTACCTCGATGTATTTTGTCATCTTCTCCCCGCCCTTCCACCGTAAAAGAAATACATTAACAGGGTTCGCACCCTTTTTCCGAAACAAATTTCAGGACTTTTCCAGGATCTTTTCCACGACTCGGATCGATTTTCCAGGACTCCAAATTTCATCTTAAAACCTTTCATTCCCAATATTTCAAAATCAATTCGCCGGTATACATGTATATTTTTTTAACGTAAATTCTGCAAACTTTATTGGTTGAGTTAAGTAGATCTACAAGACGTTTTAGGACCTGTAGTCTTTTTCGGAGACTTTCCAGCCCTGGAAAAAGTTATAATACACTTCCAGGACTTTTCAGCTTTTCCAGGACCTGAAGAAACCCTGATCAATTCGGAACGGGTGGGGAGTGGGGAATATAAATTCAAAATAATCTTACCTGTGACTTTGAGTTCGCCTCAGCCAAAGCAACAAGGACGTAAGCCGTGAGTGAGATTGCACCAGTTTGACCTCCCTACAAGAAAAAGGAAATAGGCAAGTATTGCCGCATGATCATCGATTCTGACCTGATTGGCGGTTAACAAAACACATTACCTTCAGAACAGAGCTGTGAACTTTTCCAACTTTCCTGAAGGATTTGTCAATGTTTGTCTTACGTGACATCCATTCCAAGCTTTCTTCTAACAACTCGTCATCGATGTATTCAGGTATAAACGCGCGCGCTTGTGCAAAAGACTTTGCTACAAATGCTGTCAGCCTAATGGGGAAGGAGAAACAACAAGGTTTAATTGTATGGAGGAAACAAGCTTTTTAAGTATCCTTAGAGAAGGACAAAAAGATCCTGTTGAAAATTGAAAGTAAAAGATGACGTCATTCAGTGAATAACACTGGCATACTCGGAAAAAGAACTGCAAGTAATCCCAATACGATTCGAACCTGCTACCTTCCAATTTGTACTTCGGATGCTCTACCGAGTGTTCCCGATAAGAGTCGAACCTACAACCTTCCGATTAGTACCTCGGATGCTTTATCACCGAGCTATAGGAGACTTGCGGTAGATTAGGCCGTTTACCTATATCTGTGGTGACAAACTTCCCGCATATTACGAGGATAGGGATACCGATATGTGATGTTCTTGCGCAATGATGAATATTGTTAAATATCTCCCTCGAAAAGTTCGCCTCGGTTTTCTTGGAATAGAATGAATAATTGAAATTATCCCTTAACTTACAAATTCCCTTTACTCTATCTTATGTAAGTTCTACTTTGTGTTTAAATCCCTTCTCATTGATATCATCCTTGCTTGCAGTGCAACATTGTCAAATCCACGTTCTTACCACATGCTTCCAGATAAATCACGTTCACCGAAAGCGCTGTATGAGCCGTCACGATGACGATAGGTTTGTTCACGTTGATATCCTGTGAAAAGGAACAAGTAAGAACTGCAAACGATGCAGTCAAATCATTTGTGCTATCACTGCCCAGACTTGCTCCATCAATATGGCTGAGGAATGCTCGAGGTCGCTTTTTGGCGTTTTATGGGAAAAGATTACACTATTTATTACATCTATTTTGAAATCAATGGTGATCCTTGCAATACGATTGGTCCTCATTGGTGTGATACGTTCACAAATCGCACCATTTTTTTGCTCTAAATCGCATTTTTGTTCCCTAACCAATGAGAAAGCTTTACTAAACACAGCAACCAATCAGATTTCAAGGCTTGCTTAAAGTAACCAATCAAATTACAGGAAAATAAAAGAACTTTAACAGAGTTCGCTCGCAGAACAACCAAAAGGCACTGTTTGTTGTATAATTGTGCGAATGTAACAGAGAGTGACTAACAACATCCTGAATACCACGTCAGTAATCCCTTAAGTACCTGGTTTTCAGGTCTGTTTCAATATTCGGACAAGGGCTAAAAACGTTGTTTGCTTGGAAAGTTTTCAGCACTAACCTGAGATCATAAAATTTTTGGCTTTCCGTTCCATTTGATCCGTAAGTTGGTTCACTGTCTTCAAGTATTTCATGACGTAGATGTTTGGAGCGAAATTAATCATGTTCTGTTCACCGCAACCATAGGGCATGCGCAGCAACTTATCCAGGTTGTTCAGAGACGATCCAAGAATGTCACCTGGAGAAAAGAAATGTAGGAGTGTTACAACAGGACGTAAACCACAACGGAAGTGTTTCGTGGTGCTCGAAGTCTACAAGTTTTTACATGGAGTAGAATGTGGGTGAGTGACTCCGTCCCTCCACTACTAGAACGTCCAAGGTTTTTTCAATTCTACTCTAACCAGTCTACGAAAACTCAAAAAAGGTGAAACTGAAGTGACGTTTTGCAAAGATATATACATTTTTTTGCGCGTGAAAACTACGTAACACTAGCCTGTCGTACAACGAAGCGCGATGATAAAAGGCGATATACTATCGGAGGAGTGAGAGACGAGGGAGGTCTGGATCGCGTTGCGTAATGAACGACTAAACCCAGACCTCTCTTGTTTTCGCGCTGCCGCTACTATCGCGCTGTTCACTATCTCGCTCAGTTTCATTACCTAAATGCCTGCAACAGGCTACGTTCAACTAAGGGAAAATAAAAAATCTTAGCTCGGTAAGAGAGAAAGACAAAAGAACCGACAACAAACTCAGAAAGCAATCATTCATCATTCATCTCGGCATCAATCAATGAAAATTGATCTCGATGACAACACTTACCCATGATGGACACTGTGGCTGTCGCAGATCCCTTGACGGTGTTCTTTGGTACACTCAGATCCAGTGTGCGTGTAAGACTTGAGGCTGCAAAGAGCACACAAAACAGTCGATCCATGTTACAACACCAATATGAGCTGTAAAACATTTGGCAAGTGGTAACTGACTGAGAGCAACAATACAACTGGCTTTAAGAAAGGTTTTACATACTGGAGTTAAGATCCAATAACACGCTGATAGAATATTCCTGTGGTACTCCCTCTGGCTGTGAGAAAAGAAATAACGGGGGTTAGTTTCTACAGAAACTGTGGTGCTGCGTCGCAGTCGGTAGAGGGTGTTACATGATAATTAGATTTTAACGACTGAGTTGATAATGTAAGTCGGCCACCATAAAGAGTTTCTAAACGTGACGTTTCGAACGTTGAGCCCTTCGTCTTTCGCTCTGACAAAGGTTTAACAATCGAAACGTCAGCTTACAAACTCTTAACGGCGGTCAATTTCTGTTATCAACTAAATTGATAAAACCATATTATCTTTTGAAAAAGTAGTTACATTTCAAATATCACACTTTTAAAGTGAAGACGTCATGTCATTGATCGCATGGTGATAAACTTAATTCTCCTCTTTTCGGTCCTGTTACCATTACAAGTTTCTTAGATTTCGCATCACAATTTCCATGAATAGAAACAATTTTCCACAACTGTTTGCATCATTACCTCTACTAACAAGTTCCTTTTAACAGCATCAGCGTTGGACACAGATTGAGCTCGAACTTCAATTGGTACCTGACCCAATGTTTTCGGGACCACGGGGAACGACACAGCTTTTCCTTCACCGGCCCCAACCTCAATCTCCACTGAAAGGTCCATTGCTTTGTCGACATAATCCTTGTTTACGGAGCTTTGCCCCCTTAGCCCAAGGCTGTTTACTTCATCTATGATAGCCCAGTCTTTGGAAGCTTTCAGTGTCACTGTGACCTTGGCAGAAAACAGAAAAAGTCATTGAGTTGACGACTACGTTAGAAAATATGCAACCTCTCTTTTAGGCCTCTCCTTTGGGCCTCTCTGTAGAGCCTCTCTTTTTGGCCTCTAGAAGGGGTTCCTTTATTCAAGGGACAAAACTTGTGATTGGTTCTACAACGGAAAAGATCCTATCAAGTTATAAACTTCTTCTATCTGTAGTCTTCATGACAATGTGGCTTCAGTGATTAAATCAAACATACACACAAGACCTACACTGTGAAAATTGACCAGTTCAAATAATCCTACGATTACAAAAGGTGCAAACACGGCTTCCCAAAGAAAAATCATCAACAACAACAAACGCGAGGACAGGTTAAGGTTTTGTCAATCGTCACTTCTCACTACTTGGTTTGTTTCTCGTTCGTTCCTCGTTAGTTACTCGTTTGCTAATCGTTCGTTACTCATTCGTTAATCGTTCGTAACTCGTTTGTTAATCGTCCGTTACTCGTGTGTGACTCGTCCATAACTCGTTCGTTAATCGTTCGTTACTCGTTCGTTAATCGTCCGTTACTCGTTCGTTAATCGCCCGTTACTCGTTCGTTAATCGTCCGTCACTCGTTCGTTAATCGTTCGTTATCGTCCGTCACTCGTTCGTTACAAGTTCGTTACTCGTTCGTTAATCGTTCGTTAATCGTTCGTAATTCGTTCGCTAATCGTTCGTTTCTCGTTCATAACCCATTTTCAATAACTATTTAGTTACTTGTTTAACTTACCAGCTGTTTCTCAGCCTCATAATTGAAGACAGTGACCCGCAGAGCGAGCTCTTCGCCTCGAACAACAGAGTATGGAAGATTCAAAGATACGAAGAACGACTGAAACACTTTCACCTAATGGCCAGAAAAATAGAACTCCTTCAAAAACAGGTTGAAAAATATAATGACTTGTACCATTAAGAGAAATATTAGAAATAGATACGCTGCATTTAAAATTAAGGTTTTCATTCAACCGGATTAAACAGCTACAGGATTGACCTACGAGCTTATTAGCTAAAAGCTACCAAAGCGCTCTGAATAGGGAATAGAAGCATAGCTCCAGGGCAATGTGTGGATCTTTTAACCCCTAAGAGTAATTATTATCTGAACTCTCTTTGCAGTATCGCTGCTGAATCAAACAGAAAAAAAAATTATAAAAATTTAGGAAATAATCTTCAGCTTAAGAAGCCCTTGATTGTTAAACAAATTTTCCTTGTCAAGGAGTACCATAGAAAATTTATAGAAAACAGTTCGGAAAATATGCATTTTGGTGTTAGGGTGTAATGAGTTAAACAATCACCCTCAAAAAGTAACACTAACCTGTGGTTTAAGTTCTCCAACACCGAGACCGGTAACGTTGGACACAGCAAAAGCACTGGTTACCCATGTGGTTAGTGTATCAGGGACAGCCCGCTGAAATTCAACCTCGCCTGCAGAACTGACAAAAAGAACATAAAAATACATTTATAAAGGCTCGCGACAGAGGGTTCTCAATTGGCAGAACTTATAGCAAAGACCATAAACAGACATTTTTATACAGGCTCACAACAGAGGGTTCTCAGTTGGCAGAACTACTAACAAAGACCGTAAACGAACATTTTTATACAGGCTCACGACAGAGGGTTCTCAGTTGGCAGAACTAATACCAAAAAGACCGTTAACAAACATTTTTTTATACAGGCTCGCGACGGAAGGTTCTCAGTTGTCAAAAAGTCACAAACAAAGAAGCATTTCCCTTGGTTTTAAAATCTTTTTTAACTTGCTTGTGTTTGTGTTTTTTTGTAACCTCTGTTCCATTTTTCTGCTTTATTTTGTTTGTTTTTTTCTTTTGCAATTTGGTTACTGAGCAACAAATATTCAACTTCTATAGATTAGCCACAAAAGATAAAAAAGATGACCGCCTCGCATACTCGATTATCCCTTACCTTATAAGTACCGGTGGCTTCAATTGTTTGACTATCAGGCGCGTTATCGTGAACAGCGCAAGATCGTGACTATTCTAAATAGTCACCGATACTCAAATCGGCAGGACATTGCGTCTCACAAGTCAAAAGCTATTCCTACAATTAAATGCTTAATACAGGTTTGCCAGCGTAAAGGCAGTTCACCCCAAGCAATTCGTCACGTTACCTAAACAGGTCGACAACATCCACTAAGAGGGGAAATAATCAATTTCCTCTCTCCGTTCAAAATTTATTTACACCGTAAGTCACTTACTTGGCATCATACTCCAACCAGATCCAGGTCTCAGGGAACAGACTTCTGACGCGCTTCACTTCAGCAAGCTTGGGCGCGCCACCGCCGTTACTATTTGCTTTCAACATAGTTTCCTCATCAGCTGCAGCACGTATGTATGAAGTGATACAAAAGAGAGTCGACTGAATAACAACAACAATACAAACTCCTGTCGCATAAAAATGATTAGCCATTGTCGCACATGGATGTGATAAGGCAAACTAAACGCAAAACAAAATTTTCCAACGTTCGCGACTAAGGTTTTAAAACCTTAGTGGCTCTTAACCCCTTAAAAGTGGTCAAAGCCACGCTAAAGTAGCCTTTAATTCCTTTTTTTTTTCTTTATTTGAAATCAGTTTGAAGGTTCTTACTCGTTTCAGCCGATAAAATTTTCTGACTTTCCGTGAAATGTTCAGATTGGGTTTAGTTTTGAATCTGATTGGTTGAAAAATTGGCGAGAGTTTACTGGACCGAACACAAAGCGAAGTAAAGCAAAACCACAGTCATAATAATCCTGTAATACTTTCGACACTCAATTCTAGTGTGAAAGCGAGCATTTGTTTGAAGCTTTAGTTACTTAAGGTTTTTTTCCCTTTTAAAGAAATGGTTATGGGTCATTTTCTTATGCCATTCTATGATAAGCTCCCAAGATCCATGACTTTCCAGATTTGTACGAACTGTCGTAAATGAGACTGACGAGTCTGCTGTGTTCCGAAACCTTTTTTAATCAACTTGATCTCCCTCTCTGGTCTCTCTCATTTAAATATATAATAGAATCTTATTGTTCTCAGTGTCCAAATTATCTGTCACCATATCGCAAAAAATCAACCGGAAAGCAATTAACGTTGAATAATGTCTGACAGAACCCTGAGGTGAAGAATCGCAGTTTTTTGACAAACATTTAAGCTAGATTAACTCACGAGATGGCAATACTCCAAATAAACACCACGAAATGTATTCTTACACACCTGACCCCATTTCCGGCATTGCTGCCATCATTATCATTCGGTCATCAAAGCCCCCTGGCAATTCATAGTCAGTGATAACAACGAGACCAGAGTTCTGCCAATGAAAACAAAAACGGTGTACAGATAATTTTTGTGAGTTGAAGGGGGGGCAGGGGAGGGTAAGAAATGAAAGGTGTCAGCAGCAAGGAGAGGTTGCTCATCAACAAAAGTGTTATTAGTCTTATATCTGGCCACTTAAGAGCATTTTTAGTCATACTATAAGAGAGAGGATGGAAAGAAACCCAAGGTACCCCCCCTGATAAAAATAAACAAACAAACACACAAAAACTTACAGTTCCACATGCGATATGAGGTCTCTCTCAATTCGAGTAGAGCTTTTACAAAGTAAAACAACCAACGGGCATCGAAGAAAGGGCGTTATGACATCGGTGCTGATTCAAGAATTGATTACCCCCACAGATCTCCCCCCAAATCAGAACCACTCAAGAAACACCCCTCCTGAGTTAAAATATGTGAACTGAGTAAGCTAAGCTGTTGTTTCTACGTACCCACTTTCACATGGTCAAGTTGGAATTTTACCCTTCTATTTTTCGTAAAAATGGAAAAAATTATTCATCGGGCACGATTCGTCGGCAACAAAAGCAAACGAAAGTGTGGCAAAAATTTATTCCCGGAACATGTTTCTCCATTTGTCTCGTCCTTTTACCTCAGTTTCACATAAATACCTCAAAGACTGCTGCCGCATTGCGTCCTGAAGAGGGATAGGGCATGATCATTCTACGACGTCTACCTCGCCTGCCCCAGTCCCAAAATGGATACCAAACTTGCGCTGAGTCGTAACTTTGAAGCTCTTCTAGAACCTTCTTAACAGACAGGTCTGTATCCTCCTTCATGAGAAGTACACTCTTGTCGACCGCTCGGAAAGCAATGAAAGATCCCGGAGTTGCTTTCCCTTTTATAGTTACCATGTCACCCGGAGCGACGCTGTCTCTATTGTTGGTGTCGATTGTCACAGAAACCTGGAGATGGAGACGAAGAACAAGACGAAGGTGTAAATGGAGATGGAGAGGGAGAAAAACGAGATTAGAGAGAAGAAGAGGAGACGGAAGATGCACAGAAGCAGATGAAAATAAAGATGGGGAGAAAAAGGATGGAGAAGATAGAGAGGAGGAGGGAGAGGAAATAGGGAAAGAGAAGCAGATAAAGATGATGATGAACACCAAGCTAAAGAAGGTCCTCACTTCATTTTGGAAAGGATTCTCTACTTCGATATTCAGACTGTCTACAACAATTTCCCCACTTTGTTTTATGCAGTAAACCAACAGACGAGCACTAGGCGCCATTTCTGTTTTGGACTGGATGGTGAAGGACGCTTTGGTGGAGCCAGGAGACACAATGTGAGAACCAGTTTTAACCCACATGCCACGTGACAAAACCTGTTCCATAGGGAAAAAAGGGAGCACACTTCGATTGAACGCCAAGAAACCAAATCCAAAGTTCAAATATCTTCTCAGAAAATGAGAGCGAAGGCTGGGGATCACAAGCAACTTAACAAATCGACACTGTGTTCTTAAAGCTAAGGTCGATCTGCTGTCGATCTGCTGTCACAATAACTAAAGCCCGTGCAATTACAACGGCCCATCAAAACAAAGATCAACATCAAAATAAGCCAATGAAAGCCCAGAGTAAAACCAAGCCACCCCTTTGAAGCGCGGGAAAACGCAAGTGGCCAAGACGCGATAAGTTTTAGTCTTGCATCTAATTGGATCAGAGGGTGGCGTGATTTTTTTTTTAACCAATCACAAAACGGAGTGAATAAAAAGCAGAGCAATTCCGGATTTCGTACAACACTCACTTGAATAGTTTTTTAACTGTCGGAAAACACAAGAGTTCAGAAAGCAATCCGTCTTAGTAACGCACCTGATTGGTTGAGGTAACGCATATCTTACCATGCTTAATATGTTTCTAACATATATGCAGCTATAGTCCAGTCTGTCTAATAAACAATTACGATAGTTAACCTACCATATATCTCAACTCTGAAAGTTGGAAAGTAGCCTCCACGGCCAATGCTATTACATCACCAGCCTGTAAACAATAGTATGTAAACTCACAACAGACTCAAAATGGAGCTTAAACATTACTGTTGAATAAGGTATATCGAGAGAATTAATAGTACCTTTCCGTTCACAATATCAATTTACGTATGTGTTTATATACTGATATGTAAGTAACAAAATTCAGTGTCCTCCACAGTGTTTTTCATTAGCGGCCAACCATAGAAAAACACTTGCCAGCAAAGTTTTAATTTTATTTTGGATCAAGACAAACACATCACTACTTCGTCTTATTAGGTAGCCGGCGCTTAAAATAGAAGATCCTGGCGAAAATGCTGGCCACTGATGCTTCAGAGGAACACAGCACATTCTGATTCAGCCTACTCAGTGTCCCCTAAAGGTTTGAAGTTATCTGATACATTACAGCCCAAATAGGTTCAAAAAATATCATTCTACATCCATAATTACTTTCAACTACATGTACACTACGACTAACCAAACAATTAGTATTTTCAAGTCACTTAGTTAAAATAACTGTAGTGAAAAACTGATGGAACCTTCACTGAAGGTGTGGTTGTTGATAACTGTAAGAAAGATTTGCTTGGTGAGCTGGCCTTAGAAGCTGACAAATATGCCCATGTTCCTTTCAGACCTTCATAATATTCTGCCTGCAAAATGGAAAAAAATAATAAATTCACAGTACCAGAGTTCAAAATTTTGAATTAACATCACCCATATCATAGGGTCGTATGGCGAAAATAACTGCATGTGTCTGGGCTATATGTCAATGTCATTGCATTATTCTGAATTTATCACATAACATTTTACTGACAGAATTGGGACAAAATAATGACCTTGGCTGGTGTACTATAATACAGGTTGTGTCCACTTAACGTTTGCTTCAGTCAGACTTCACTGAATTGATGGTGATAGATACAAAATGAAACAAACAAGCCAGTGAAAAACGAACAATTTTCTGACCATGATATCTGGGTGTTCATTCTCCAGCTACATTTTCATAGTCTAAATTAATAATAGCCTTCATTTGGTACAAAAAATATGCTCGGATATTTGTCTTCGGACATGGTCTGTTCTGAGATGCTTGGGGAAGACTGTGAATTACGAGGAATTGATAATATCGAAGAACGCCCCTATATACAAGCACATTTTCCCACCAAATGGATGCTATTGTGTTTATCGTTCTTCAAGTATTTTTGGAACACGCAGGAAAATTGTTTACGGTTTAAATGTTTCCTTTATTGGATATTGTTTCCTTTTCAATTTTCTTTAGTAACACTTAATAAAAAAACAAACATGTGAATTCTCCTGTTAGTAACAACAGAAAAATGCTCTTGAAATTGTAGAGGAATGTCTTTCTCATAGTGAATGTAAGGTTTTTGAATATCACTTGGGGATATCACTGGTTCACTGGATATTCTCCAGTTTTAGCTGGGGTATATTTGGTCAGATGATGCGCTTGCTTAGACCTATGATAAGAGAGAGGGAGCAAAAATATTTCATGGATTAAAAACTATTCTATTTTAAGAAAAGGAGGATATTCTCCAGTTACCTTGTACTATTTTCCTAGCACTGTTTTTTTTAATGAAAGCCCTCTAACAAACCTTTAAAGATACATAATATGCAGAGGAAGGAACATCCTTTGTAATGATGAAACTTCCGTCACTTGAATGCGGCAAAAATTCTTCAGTCCCTTTGTCATTCCATTGATACTTTGTTGTTAACTTGATTTTACCCTGAATTTCTTGCAGTCTACTAGGAGTGAGTGGTTCATTGTTTGGTTGCACAGCAGTAACCTAAACACAATACACAGGGAAGTAAAGTCAGTATCTTGATTATCAAATAAAAGCTTACCCTGCAAGTAGCTCCCATTATTAGCAACTAAGCACAGGCATTACTTCACCCACTGGGAAGTATGAGGCCTTGAAAGACATCTGTAAGGGTTCTAATATGGTTATTAGTGCCAGCTAGACTACCTAGTAAGCCTCACTGCGATTTGTCTCTAATCTTCCTGTGGGCAGAGAAATGTAAATCCTGCAGCACCAATGATAAGAGACTGCTCGCAGGCTAATGAAAGCTGTGATTAAGCATGCTATTAGGTCTGGACCAATTTCTTGGTCAAAGAAAGGCAAGTAGACTGCAAGCAGACTGCTGTCTACTTGCTGACTTATGGATCTCTGCTCATTTTAGCAGGCTAATGAAAGCTGTGATAGAACCTACTGGACAAATTTCTTAATAAGCAAAAGCAAGCATCTCCCCCATCCAGACTGCTACCCCATGGATCATGATTCATCCTACAACAAAAATTTTCCAACAATTTCCATTTTGATTTGTCCCGGTAATCTCTAGGGTAAAAGTAGAGCTTGTTCATACTGAACATAATGTTATTACAAAAAAAGAAAACAAAAAAAACAAGGACATGAGGGAAGAAAAAAATCAAACAAACAAAGCCAAATCAAAAACACCTCCACAAATAATCAAGTATTTAAAAAAAAAGTCATCCAACAGACAAACATAAAAGCTTAACATCAAAAATGGAACAAGATATAGTTTGATCTGACTGATAAGTTTTAGCAATTTATTACCAAAGCTGTGTAAGGTAGTCCTGGTCTGAAGTTCTCTGGATTGAATTCAGCCCATTGCAACTTCACGTCTATCTCATGAAAAGAAATGCTTCCTAGGCCAGCAGCTTTCTTTCCAGTGAGATCCTCATAAAATGTTGCATTGACCTCCATTCTGTAACCATATTTATAGAGGAAGCTTTCATCCATGTAATCACCAAAACTCTTTTTGAATAACTGATTAATATCCTTCATTCTGAATGAAAATTTTCCATGGCCATCAACAACCTGGAACACATAAAAGCAGTTAGTTTTTATAGACATACAGTGTACATGCAATTCTCACAATACTTCCTGGTACTTACAGGAACATCTTTAGCATACGTGGGCTTCTTTTGATGCCAGGAATATGTGTTGAAATACAACTGAATATTTGCCCGACCTTTGGCTCCCTTTCCATACGTATACCTTTAGAAAAGAAAAAATAACAATATCAGGATTGAAACATCACTATTCAATGCACTTACTGAATCCAATAGTATAATGTTCATGAAGTGTGTGTTAGCCTTTTTATTTGTGATATCAAGTAATTCTATTTGCTATTTACCATATATTTCTTAGGACTTAAGCCCCAAATAATTTGATTTTCAATTGAGCTGCATCCTCTAGACCACAATTTCCTTGCTTCTAAATACCACTCTGTATCAGGCTCTGGTTGTTTGAGGGGTGGATAATGCCATCCATTTAATAAATCTTTAACCAATGGATAGTGCGGTACATTTTGTTAGCTCTTATCCACCAGATAGCGATTTATCCATCAGATAGCGTTATCTGCCATTTGAACAACTGGGACCAGGATGATAAGAATTTACTTCCTGGTCACTCTTTTGAGTTTAAGGGCTACTTAATGCAAAAGAAATGTGCCAAGTGATGTCAATGTAGAAACAGGGAGGGAGTGGTGGGTGGGGGAAGGTCATGGAGCTTAGTGAAGTATGCAGCACACAGCTATCTACATGTATATATATACTAAGAGAAAGGTGCCAATTTTCAAACTGGTAACAGGTCCACTTTGGTTTAGAACATACTTATCCCTAAAATATTTCAATTCCAGCAGCTTTAAATTTGCTGATGTTCTTTTAAGGTAAGGAACTCACTTGACATCAACAGAACCATGGATATATTTGTCTTTCTCAAGGGCATAATCTGGAAGGTTCACCTTCACTTCAAATTTGGGTAGCACTACAAACAAAAGCAAAATATACACAATTATTTTTAAGTGTTTATAATTTTACAGTCCTGAATGGCTGCATTTTATTTTTTTGGTGATAAAATTACAAACTTAACCTCCAAGTTAAGGGGCACAGAAGAAACACCATATAAAATCATCTTGAGTTTGTGTAATTTGCTGTAAATGAAACAACACTAAAACAGGCTTAAAATACACTCATTGTACATTTGATGAAAAAATCCATAAAGGATGGATTTATAATTTGAAGAATTCATGTATTTGTAATGATTTTAAAAGGAAGAACATGTACAAACCATATGGCTTCACTTCTATAACTTGTTCTGCTTTCTGGTCCTAATCACAAAAAAAATAGGAAATATTTCAGACTTACAGGTGAAGTATTTCAAGTACAGTTGAACCTGTGTAAAGCTGCCACCCACAGGGAATGGTGTGGTGATTGCTTAATACAGGTTCCACAGATAGATTAGAGATATTATAAAAGACAATAAACAATGCCACTATATGCCATAATTGACCACTTACTGTACAGAACCTTCCTTGAAAATATTACTTACTTTGATTTTGGGAGAAACCATGGAAAATCAATCTATCAATCTATCAAAAACTGTTTGATAGATTATTCTCAGATCTATTTGAGTGGTCCTGCTTTCAGTGACTGTTTGATCCACCTAATAGAGGTGACCCCTTAAAGGAGGTGAAAATTACAGGGGGGAAACAAATTCTGTACTTTGCAGGCAGCTGACTGCTTAATACATGGTGATCGCTTAATTCAGTGCTGCTTAATACAGGTTAGACTCTGTGTAGGTAGCCCCCAATATACCCCTCACCTTATAACTACTCAATAGACATCAAAATAATTCCTTCTCTTTCCAGTTTTTATTTCAATAGAGGGCTGTAGTTTTGTTTTTGAATGGGTGATTAATCCATGCACAAATCATAGAGAGTGCTATTTTTTTCCAGTGCTGCACTTTGAAGAAAAATCATGACTTGATTACTAATTCCTTAACAATATTTGAATTGAATAACAGATAGGAAGTATACACTTTCCAGGCTGGCTTACTCAAGCATACTGTAGGAACAACTAAAATTTACTCCTTTTTTATATTCAATTTGTTTGTATCCAATACCTTAGCAGCTGTAACAGAGATTTTCCAATTTCCCTCTACTGGCTGAGTGGAGAGGAGAAATTCCTTCTTGATGACACCTGAAAATAGTAGAACAGGATCATCTATTTATCATCAAATACAAATCTCCTATTTACTTTTCCATTTAGCTAAATAAATGCTTTATCTTTGTTAAGCATGCCTAAGTTATCAGTATGTTTAAAAAAATTGTAATCGTAAACAATTCCCACTGATGATTGCTAAAAACTAGTAAAAGGCAAAGAAATTTTCTAAACAAAAACAAACAAACTACCAAACCTGACTGGCTGTTAACATTGACCCAATGAGCCATCTTATTACCATTGGGATCCTGTGATTAAAGCAAGGAATTTCAAAAATAAAAGTAAATTTAACTTTTTAAACTACCTTAAATGTAGTCTTTGAAAACATTAAATATATAAATACTAATTACTTCAACCATACATGTTCATGCCTTTACGTATGACTATATTTTTTTACTTCTTAAGTGAAAAAAATCCATAATCCAAATGACTCACCAATATATCCACAGTCAGCTGTTAAGAAAATATAGAAAAGACTCAAAAATTAAATGAATTGTTAAAATTTTAGTCAAATTAAAGAGACACTTACAACTTGAAATTTTGGGTTTATGATAAATTAGGTCAAAAATATTTTATGCTAGGTATACAGTGTAATTTAATTTCTATTTTTCTTGGTTTTAGATAAATTAACATTAATGTATATTAACTGCAATGAATTGAAATATATTGTGACTGCAACATTGCAAGCTATTTTCAATAAAGTTGTTTATGGTTCACTTATGGGAGAAAATAATCTGATTATACATGTGTAAGTTCATTATACTCACATTGCCAGTGTACAGTTTTAAGTCTGGATGCACTCCAAAGATTCTCATGAGAACTGAAAATTAAAAAAATTGAGATAAAATTATGACAAATTCAATCCTCTTCTGCATCTAAATAATTTTTTATAGCTTATATCTGGATATACATCTACATGCATCCCATACCCTGAAACAGTTTTATTTATGGTTTAATTGAGCATGGTTAACTGTATACACCTCCTTTAATTTCTTTTAAATGGCCCTCTTGCTGGAGTTCTATTACAATTTAACTCTGAAGGCCATACAATTCCAGTTATAAGGTATTGGTAATAAATATCGCTCTTTTTTTCCCAGAAATCAACACATCAACTGTCCCTAAGATGCATGTAACAGCAAATTTCCAAATTAAAAAATGATAGGTATTACTTAATACTCGTAAGACTCCTGTCTGAAGGCAACAGAATTTAAAAGGCCTCTCAGGAAGATTATTACAGAATTAACCATACAAGAAGTGATGGCCATCACCAAGCCAAATAACTTTTTAGATCTAGGAGCAAATCAAAGAGGTGTATAATAAGCTAAGTTACCTTTTTGTCCCGGTTTGTACACAGCTTTGTCAGTCTGAATGTAAATGCTAAAACCCTTTTCCATAAAGCGAACATATTTTGTTTCAGAGAAATTGGTACCACCTGTCCCATTGACTGACAAACTATATGTAACACTTGTCAATGCAACACCATAGGGAACCTGGAAGATACAAATTTTACATAATTCACTACTTTGTTTCTATATAGTATTAAAAAAAAAAGCTGATAGGCACTTCTTGTAAAACTAAAATTCATACTTAGGTGAATCTACAAGTAAAGACTCAAATACTCACATAACAAAATTGATAAAAAATTTTGATAAGAGCAAAAAGCATCATGCATGAGTACCTGTAATGCAATTTCCTTACTAGATCCTGCAAAAATAACATAAAAAGATTTATAAAAATTTTTGATTTTAATATTTATTCTTAATTTAAGAATAAACAGAGGTACATGTGTAAATATTGAACTGACCGTTAGCAAATGTGTCACTATTGCTTGCAATCACAGTTTTGAGCTTGAGGTCCAAGATACCACATGTTATGTTCACTGGGTCAGTCACAGTATCCTTCAGCCAGACTCTGAGTTTAAATGGCTGCCCTGGTCTGAAGACACTTGGTGCAGTGATAAAGTAGCTACTGAAAAATATTATCATGGTAAGTTGAGAAGCATTGCAGACTTTGCATATACTTTTTTTTCTATAGGGATTTACTAATAGAGTTGCATGCAGTGCAAGTCTCAACCCCTTAACTCCCAGAAGTGATTCACATGTAACTTCTCCCCCACAATATCCATTCCATTTGATCTAACACCAAATTCTTGCAACTAAGTTACAAGGAAATGTGTAGCAGCTAGAGGCGAGAATTAACAATCAGATCCTGGGAGTTAAAGGGTTATAATATGCATGCCGATGGGACTGATTCTGGATGAAAACAAGCAGGTTCAAGCCCACACCAAAGCATGGGCACTGTTGTGCTATTTGCATTGGACAAGACACTTAAATCTTGAAGTTCCTTTCACTGATCACCCTAAGGGTATAGATTCAGGTGTACCAGCACACTGAGTTAAACAAGATGGAAGTTTGGAAAAAAAAAAACCTGAGCAGGAGCAGTTTTAAGTTCTAAAAACAGAAAGCTTGGTTTAAGAGTTTCCTAAGTTTTCATTACAAATACACAAGGGGCTTAGATTAATTAATGTTATAAATACAGAAGATGGTGCAAGTGCTCCAATTGGTCAATAGGTGTGTTTATAAGAGAGTATGTCTGTATTCACAGTTGTGATGTCATGCTTTCTTTGTTTTGAGTTATTTTTGAAAAATAATTTAAATAAAGAGAGGACTACCTTATGCTGTTTTTATACCCTCATCTTTAACACTCACGATATACAATTTTACAGTTGTGTATTCAGTTGCCTAGCCTTTGATTTGAAATGAGGCTAAAGGTGACCTTGTTGTGATAGAGAGCGGTATTTAGTTAGCGTGATAACAAAGTAATTAAAATTTGAGAAGCAGCACAGTTTGTAGCATAACAAGCTCATCCTTAGCCTCACTCCTGTTTAAAGGATTGGCAACTAAGCATGCAACTGTAAAGTGGACTTTTGTCGAAAGTTATGCAAACGCTTCTACTGTTTCTCGGGTTTGCACTACCTTCTCGAATTCTCTAAACACCCCTTGTGATGAGGCTATTTATAAACAGGAACAGAGTCCTAAACTACTTTAATATTGGCAAACCTCAACCTTTAAATGTATTTGGCACGCAAGTGACATTCGCACGACAAGTCTCAATATAAATACAATAAGTACAATATAAATTATACCGGAAGTTCTAATTAAGAACTTTCTAGAGGAAATCATATCACAAACGCGCTAAATATATTCTAATAGCTGGTGCCAGTTAAATGTCAGCATTAGAGCTGTTTCGACAGCTGACCTTCATGAAACATTCCTAAACTTGACTTGATTGTTAGACATTGCGAAAAAAGTATAAGTTGCTCTACACAAATGAACTGTTCGATTCAAGGCTTCTGTTCCAGGATCAATATTTCTAAGCCTACAGAACATAGCGCTAAATAAGCAAATTTTTTCCTCGTTAGATTATAGCTTGATTTACGTACAAGTATGGAGTCAGCTCACAAAGTAAACTTATGCATTTATTCAAGTTATGATCGGAATTGAATAAGCCAATATTTATCTAGGCGTTACGTTCTCTTTTTAAAATGCACTCTTACTTGCTCGCCTCTACTGATGCTGTGATCAGAACACTGCAAAGAACGAAAACAAACAACATGGCCTCTGAGGAGTCCAGCAGTGCTACCAGCTGAATTTGTCTCTACGATGAGAAATGAAAACAAAAACTTTTTTTTAGTAATTTGAAATGGCACTTGTCATAAAGAAATGATCGATTTTTGTTTATAGGCGGGTTGAGTAAAAACGAAATAACAGTACTTTCTGAAAAGGAAATGGTTACGCGAAGATAAATCAGTGTTGCACACTCCGGTGTGCTCGGAGAACTGATTCGACCAACAAATTACTTTCAATTATTCACCTAAACATGACAATATTTAAGATAAGTTACACTAATTCTTACCAAACAAGCGGAAACGTAACGATCAAAACGCTATGTAGATGGCACGGAACGACCAGAATTCAGCTATGAGCGGTTGTAGAGGAAAATTGTCACATTCAAAAAGTTGCGACATTCGTAATTTATGTAAATCACGGCAAGTTATGGCGTCATTAGATTTTGTCACGCAGGTGGGGGATAACCTACAATCCTCCTCCTCGGTATGAGAGATTAATTCTTCTCCGCGAATTACTTCTTCCCAAAGCTCACGAGTGTTTCCATGCAGTTAAGGGTAGTGTAAATTTTACTTAGAAGTCATATGAACACTAACAAAGTCATGTACGTGGGAACGCCTCTAAAGTAACGTATTAACAAAGTAATAATACTAATAATAATAATAATAATAATAATAATAATAATAATAATAAAATTGGGATGTTGTGTACCCGTTGAGGCGGGGTTCGATACCTTTTTTTAGCAATTTGCAACCAAAGCTGTTTCGATTGATTGAACATCAAACCGGATGCTAAGTAAGCACATTTTGGGGAGCTTTGAAAACCAACGGAAAGTTCGCACTGTTTTGAATACCCGAGTTGCCATTGTCAGAATGAAAGATGTCATCTTACATAAACAGGAAACGTTATTATGGATTAAGATTAGGCATTCATTATTTGGAATTTGAAAAGAATTGTTCGTTAAACCTTACTCAAAGTATCAGGTCAAATTTTTTTCCTTTAGTTCGTCCTTCCGAATCCTGGGTCAGTCACGTCTGAAACTTTATCTTATCAGGCATGTTTTAAAAGCCGCAAGGCAAATTTTTTCATGAAACTCTTAAAAAGAAATATGTCGTGCAAGACGAGATCGCCTGTTAAAGATAACTGCCAAACTGACAAATGACCCTGGATAATCATGACTTAGTTATTCGGTCCATTTCTTCCGTCCATGATTTTTTTCTCTGTTGTATGGTTTTTGCATTTTTTTTTATTAATCAATCAATTTTTCGGGTCGTGCCTTATTCGTCTGGGTTTTACCTCGATCAAACTTTATTCAAATTCACTTGCTTTGCCTTGAAGAAGAGACCAGCCAGGTTTTGCTCGCAACAAGAAGGGTAAAGACATAAGCACAAGCTAAAATATTCGCAATCAATTTTGGCGTTCATTTGGGCATTCAAGTTGAGTAAACAAGCTCACAAAAGACACAGATTTCCTATACTTACCCTCATCCGGCTCATTTTTCATTTTAGTAAGGGTTTCATCTTTAATTTCATGAAAACTTTGCGACGTCTTAACTGTACGAATTGATATATCGCGAAAAACGATACGTGCAAGCTATTAATACAAAACTCAAGTTAACAGAACTGCAGTTCGAAAACAGTTTACCTTAAGACTCAGAACTGTCTTACCTCTAAATCACAGACAGGAGGCGCAGATGGGCTCAGCTCTGCACTACTTTGAAGTTCTCTAAGATCGAGTCAACCGACGCGTGCGATTTCCATGCAAACGGCGACGTTTTGTGATGATTTCTTACTCAACATCTTAATCAAGATCAGGATCAAGATTTTGATAATCTCTTTTACTAATTGCATCCGAGGGTTAGCGTCAATTTTCCTGACCTTGGCCTCCTTTCTTTTTTTGGTGTCAAGTGTGAAAATCCTTCCCACCAATCGTCTAAGCAAACATAGTTACAATTGTATATTCAATGCCTCAATGCCTGGTCCAGTTTTCTTCAAATAGTAAGCTCATTTGGGAGGGTAAGGGAGTGACAAGATTTTTCAACAAAAGGTCGCATTCTAGAGTCTCAAAAGTACTCTAACAGTTTCAATGTAAAAGGAATTGACGGTGGAACTGGAAGCAAATAGTACTGTATGTAAATGTCATAATTTCAATTTTTTCAGAAATTGGTTAGCTGCCTCTGGTATTTAACCTACATGCGTTTGGTTTCTCCGATGCACCTGTATTTAATACACTTATAATAACTGATAAAAAAACTAATAACAGTAATAACAATAATTATTAGTATAATAGTAATAATGTTCCTTAACATATTTTTCTCCCATTTGCAAAATCCCGAAGTTTTTTCAGGAAGAAAAAATAATAGGTTCCGTTTTCTCTTCCCAGTTCCATTTCGTTGAATTCCCCTCACCTAAAGAAAAGAAGACATTTCTTAAATTAGCCACTGCTGAGGAAAGTAAATGTGATCCCTTCGGCATAATCTCATACAAGAGAGGTGAAACACTCAAAGACACGCCCTTGAAAATTAACTTGACCGCTCTTAAAGGGCTTATGTGCGATGTAAAACGTACCAGTGACGTCACAAGTTGTATCGATAGTCAAATGGCTCTGTGGTTCTTGGCTAATACCTCGTAACCGCAAAGCTCAACACGAGCGAGTCCCTCTGAACCTTGATGAAAATCCGGGGACCCTTCATTCAGACTAAGGAGAGCTTTGAATTTCTCTAAGGGAATTGAACCTTTTTCCTTCGTTTATTGTAAGTTTCAATAGAATTTCAGTAGAAAGTCAAGCAGGAGTTTAGATTTTGAAATACAGTAGAACCTCGATTTGAGGAACCTCTATATAATGAAGTCCTCGGCCGGTATGACGACCGATACTCTTCAGCCCGGCCAAAGTTACAGTAAAATATACGGGAAAGAACCTCGATATAACGAAATCCTTGTTATAACGAATACAATCTAGAAGCCCAAACGTGAAATATACCCCGATGTAACGAACAAATGTCAACACGTGACAACTTTTTGTAAAAAATGTCTTAAAAGACTAAAGTAATGAGCGGCACTCTGCGGCGATAGTTTTAAAACTTCTTCATTCATGATTCTCCGACGCGTTTCGTCTAACTGTCGTCGACTTCTTCGGGAGTTTTACAAGTGAACGCTAAACTAAACCGAGGCCCCTTATTATTTTTTCTTACCTTGCTTTAAAAAAATTGACAAAATTTTCACAACTTCGCCTTTTCCTGTTCGATCGTACGTCCAGCCGAGTCTATATGGTTATTCGCTCTTATAGCCCCCTTACTGTGGCTTATAAATACAGGCGTTTAATTTAATTTTTTCACAAATAAGTCTTCATATAGCTATAGACATTAAAGCACAAATGTCATTTACAGTAATCGATCCGATCCCAAAAAGTAGCGCAACGTCACACCACAAAAAGGAAAAAGAAAAAACAAGCCATTATCAACTATACCTCGATAAAACGAACGTTTTGGTTGTTTTTCCGCAAATTCGTTAAATCGAGGTTTTCGATATAATGAACTCTCGATATAAAGGACCAATTTCTTTAGTCCTATGGCACATCGTCAACTCGACGTTCGCAGTTACCTGTCAGTGCAGAGCAGAGTTACGTAAATTTGATGTCATATAAAGTATCAGTTGATAAGTGTTATCTGATACTATGACGTACATTGTCGACTGCCCCATACGGTTCGTCACGATTCGGCGTTACGTGATACATAAAGTCGACGATCTCCACGATCCTGAATCAGTTGCGCAAATCAGCCTTCAATACGACTGAAGTCACTGTGTGCGAGGGAACTTTTCAGAAGACAGCCAGCCAAGAACTACCCATCGGATCCAAACAAATCTTATTTTAGTTAACAACCTACCCTGATTTTCATATTTGCCAGGAATTACGGATTACAAGGTAAGGTGATTCGAGGGGTTGTCTAAACCACGTAGTTGGACATTTCGCCAGCTAGAAGGCTCAAATAGTTTTCCCCATCTCAGCTCGCACTCGCTTTTCCGCTCGCTTTTTTTAAAGTCGCCCACGTGCTTTCCTAACAGTGACTTGAGTCCTCCTTAACTTAAATATTTAAAAATCTCGTAGCTGACAGTTTACTAAGCACTCGTTGAGCTGCGAAAGCACAAACAAAAACACCAGCTACTTAGGTTAAAATGTGTCTGCTTAAAACTGCGGATTGAAGAGTGAGAAGTTCATATCGCTGTTAATGCTGATGGGAAACGATTCTTAATTTAGCGCATTAAACACACTACCTCAAGACTAGATGGGAATGTTTAATACGTCTGGGTTTTACACCACTGGATACGTGCATTGATAAGATCTGTCACAGAGTGCCAAACGCAGTATCATGCTGTGAGAGGAGCAGAGAAAACAAACACAGCAGCCGCACTGTATGTATTTCACATTACGTGTGATATTTCCTGAGAAGTAGAGAATTACAGATATTAAGGACCATCTCATGTAATAATGATCTACTAATAAGTTTAAAAAATGACAACGTGCTCTTTGACGCGCTATAATGAGATGTGTACCTTAGCGAACCATCAGCAATGAAAATGATAATTTTTAAAACATCTACCAGACGTAAGTTGCTCAAAACACCGAAAAAATTAGCTGTATTCACCACGTCTTTTAGTTTGTTGAGGCTTTTCCCCAGCGTTCCCTTCACACTGACATTCCGCCATGGAACCAAGCAGAAATCGATAACATTCCACCACGGAACCAAGCACAAATCGACTTTCTTGATTGGTCCTACAAACATCTGTGCGCATAGCAATCAACACCGACTATCGTAGTTCGGTCTGTATTTACATTGCCTTAATCCTCTTCTGATAAAACAATTGTGAAAAAGCTCTGAATTCTCTCCAAAATAATTTTATTTGGGACGTCGAATGGGGTGAAACAGCCAGCGCCATATATTTCCATCTAGCAACTTGCAATGTTTGCCCCTTGGTGATCCCACAATCCTTCGCACATAACACGAGGATCCGATTACTGGCAACGGATTTTACACCTGGAAGTGCGCGACGTCGCGCAATCCTCCCACGTCCCCTTGACAATATTAAGACATTGAGAAGGGAAAAAAACAGTGATATCTATTAGTGACCTTTTAGTTTCTACAAAGATATTCCCCTGTTGTTACAAAGAATATTTTTCATTTAACACGATATGAAGTGCATCGTTAAATCTAAGAATGTTGAAGGCGCGATTTTTTTTCCGGAAAGAACGTACTCGCCTTTGCGCTAACCCACTCATAATTGTCATAAGGCCATCCCAATTTAATGTTTCGTTTCCCCATCGCCCTCCCTCTCGTGAGGGTGGGTCGGTCGTTCGGGCAAAAAAAAAGAAAAAAGGGAACAAACACTTGAAAGGGCCTGGTGAATTTTCTGACGGAAATGATTTCCCACTGTCATATAGGGTCATTATGACGCATTTTGATTCATTTTTCCCTTTATACCAATTTTGGGAATTCAAACGTGTCGTCAATCTCGATATGCTTAAAGCTGCAGCTGGTGTTTTTAAAGTCGCTGATGAGAGTTTAAACGTACTGTTTGGCATTTATCATTTTTTGTAGCAACTTACAGCACAAAACAAGTGGTATCCGTATCAGAGAGGAGTGGTATGTATATGCTTTTGATACCAAAGTTTTCTTAAATCTGATGATATGATTAAATATCATCAACCATTGATAAACCATTTACAAGTTGCGCTCTTCGCGCTCGCCTCACGCTTGCCTTCGCTTGCCTGAAAAAGGGCAAAAAAATGACGCTTGTTCCTAAGACTCTCTAAAGCTCTTCTGTGGAAACCTCAGTTTGAGAATTGTATATTCAGAAATCTCAAGCAATTCATAAACCAACGATTAAAACACTTTAAACTGGTAAATGATGAGAAAACACTCGATTTTAGAAGTGTAAGACATGTGCTCTGTACAGTGTATTCAAAATTAAGTCAGATGAAAAATTTTCTAATACCCTAGACTCATATAAATTTAGGGGGCCTAAAGAGGGATTAAACGCATATGTAGTGTCAGAGGGAAATCGTCAGCAGTTTAAATTCCCTTGGTAATGTTAACTATTGTTGAAATCATGAAAAACAAGTTGACTTTTCCGGCGGGCTTGGGGAAATTGATCTAGTTCATAGTTTACTTACATACTGCACTTTCGCCTTTATGCCGAAAGAGACCCGAACTAAAAGTTATGTTCACACTTGCTGCACTTGGAAAAATTTTCTCTAGGTATGTTATTCCAGTTGTGGATCGCCCTACTTCTGGGTCTGGTTCCCAGTCCATTTGGGATCACCTCCGCGTTACCCAGCATTCCCAATCCGAAGAAAAAGGGAGCTTTTGATCAGATTCTACAAGCCAACTTGGGCACAGAGCGTGACTGTAAGTACATGTTTGTGTACCCGTAGCAGGAATGACCATTCTGTAATAAATGAAGCCATATATGACATGTTAGCCGTTAAAAAATGAAGCGAGGAAAGAAGAAAGCGCAAAAACAGCCGGAAAGAAGAGACAAGACGAAATTTTCCACCTCATTTTTTACGTTTAAGTTCAAATCAAAGTTCGGTCCCCAATCCTGACAACTAAATCCTCAGAATCACCTGCGTTGCCCCTGAGTCGTGAACAAAATACTACCGATCGGAGAAAGGGAAGGGAATAATTGTCGTTAAATTTAAATTTTTAAACAAAACTCAAAACAGTGCCTGGCTTCACGTTTCGTTCCATTCGCTGATGCAGTGCCTAATGAGAGGGGGACCCTTGTTGCAATAACTGTCCGCGTGCACCTACAGTGTATTTCGTTTTTGCCTCGTTCGCGTGTGTTGTGAACCGAAGACCAAAAAATTTCACGGGTTTTGAAAATAGTATTAAATCAGCCGCTTATGACAGTTGACGAGTCAAACAGAGGCTGACAGAATTGTTGCGAGTCTTTTTTGTTGTCGCTATAGACTACTGGCCGTGGTTGTTCAAAGGTTGGATAACGCTATCCGCAGGATAAATCTCTATCCGGTGGATAACTTTATACGTTTTGCCATCACTTATCCGCTGGATAGCGATTTATCCGTTGGATAGCATTATCTGCCATAGATACAACTGGACCCTGGAGTTCAAAATAGCTTTATGACGTCGCAAAGCGTCGAATTCTTCTAATTCTAACCACGTGCATGTAACTTTTAAATGACCTTTATGACGCGTTTTGTGACGCATACTATGAATGCGTGCGCGCACTGATGATTAACGAAATAGGACTGACGAAATGATAGAAGAGTGAAAGCTTAATCACTAGTCTGAATTACAAAATTATTTTACGAGCTCTTTTGTCTGTTTTAATAGGTCATTGAGATAAGCAGAAATTCATAGCTCAAGCTTACGCCGGCCTAGAAAAATGTTCATCGCTTTATTATTTGGAGGAAACACCTCTGTTGTACTGATTCTCAAGGACATGCCACTGTCATTGCACTGAAGGTTTCAGTTTTGCATACAAGAAGAGAGCTTAAACTACAGCTCATATTCTCTTGATACACGGGGGTTAGGGAGGGGAAGTGGACGATTGCGATGAAAGAATACGGGGCGAGATTATTTCCCGTAATCACTCGCGCGTTGTCTCCGTTGTTAACAATATTTTGCGGAACTAACATACAAAAAAACACATACACACAACCAAACTTAGAAGAACGCTTTCCTATTTTTAAGCAAATCTCTACCAAGTGACACTCTTTTAAAACAGATACTGATAGGGGCAAGTACACGAAGTTAACAGTAGCAAAACAAGTTTAAGCAGTTTAATTTTCGCAAAGATTGCTCACTTTACAGTGGTATAGCTTTCCGTTACTCTTAGTTATTATTCAATCCTATGCAGGTGTTCTTGTGGCTCTCCCAATCAGCTTCTTGGCATTTTTCGTCGCAATATCTGGAAATTTTGCAACCTCCGCAGAAATACAACCATACGCTCTCTTTGCCACAACTTGCGCATCTCGGCGTGCTCTTGGAAACAAAATTTGAATTTACAGAAATTTTCATGACCTGATATTTATTGCAAGGGCTGAGAAGTTCAACAATTGTATTATTCTTTGTTTCTACTCTAATTTCGTCAAGTTCTTTACTCCTTTTAAGCCTTTCTTGACGAATAACAGCTCTGAATTTTTCGTCCATGTCCCGATTGACCTCATGGATACACTTCCTGGTGTTTCGGTCGATGTCAGTGATACACTCTTCCATTTCACTCTTCACTTCTTTTAGTTCGCGTAGCAAATCTTTACACTCGGCTTTATATGCCTTTCGGAGTTTTTTCCTTTCATCACCAATCAACATTTCAGCCTGCTCGGCAACAACTTCTTCAAATGAAGGTTGAAGTTTTGCAATGTTTTCCTTCAGTCGCTTTAATACTCCTTTAATTTCTTGTGCGTCTTGTTCTGCCATCTTTTCCTGGATTTCAATAATCGTCAGTGCCTCTTTCAAATAAAACCTCGGTATTGTCTTCTTACTCACCGCAAATCACCGGTTTTCCTCAACTTTCCAACAGCGTGCACACAGAATGACATCATAATTGTGCACCTCTGTTGTAAGCGATGATAAAACAAAGTGAAAATACAAACCATAACGCGCGCGCGTGCTTATATCACCGGCTTTCTAAACTCGGACCATACAAACAACTATTGCACAAGATAAAATCAGATTTGATGAGGATCGTTCTACTGTAACATTCACTCTGTCATTTTCAGCCTTTTCCAGTCCACCGCTCCCAGATAGCGTGTTTGAAGGGGATATCGTTTTAACTAAACAGCAGCTGATTAATATTGATATTCATGGCGATATCAGAGGCAATGTTAGCAGAGCGGCCGACGGCAACGGACGTCTTAGATGGCCGAACGGTATCATACCCTATGAAATTGACTGCAGCTTACGTAAGTGATGTTGTTATTCTTTGTATAATCAAAACTATAGAAAAATTCTCGAACGTGATTGGACATCACCAGCCCGATTTGAGCAGAAATAGGACAGTGCGCGCGTCATGCGACAGTTAATACGTCATGCCTGTGGAAGTGGACAGAACGCGTTATGTACGCGTGCTGTTGTCTCGCATTTCGCCGACTTAACTGTTTTTTTTATGAGAACGTATAAACGTTGTCTAGTTTCTTTCTCAAATTTTGTCATAATTTTGATTAATTGGCAACAAGACTTCATGTCGTTCAAATTCTGTCTGTAATCATGATCGGACTCCCGCCTCGCCCCCCTATTACCAATATTAATTAGGGCGCGACGGTGATCATGGCTTGCTGTCCAATTGAGCTCACCAAGCGAAAAACACTTCTTAGTTGCCGCGATTTGCAGTCCAATCGAGCCCACCAAGTGAAAAACATGGAAGAAATACTTTGCACAAATGGAAGCAACATTTAAGTTCAGAAGTCAGTTGTTGTCTTAACGGATATTGTGCATTAGGCCGAAACATCTTGGCGGGAAATCGACTTTCAAACTGTCTGATTGGCAGTTACATAGGTTTTATGACTTACTAGGAAAACGTTTACATCCATGGTCATATCTCGATAGCAAATAATAGCGTCCATAGAAGTAGGAAATCGCTTTTGCTGTGCTCTTTCACCGCACTTTTTTTCTTTTTTCAGTGCTCTTCCACTTCCTTGTAATGTTAGCTGTTTTGAAAAAACCGTTTCATTGCAAGTTTATCGGGGCTTTATTACAAAAACAATACCTTTGTCTTCTTGCCTTTTACAGAAAACATGCCCGATGCAATGAGTGCCATAGATGCGGCTATAAAGGAATGGGAAAGCAAGACTTGTATCAAGTTTGTGAAGAGAACAACTCAAAAAGATTACCTTTGGTTCTTCCGTCAAAGAGGGTAAGAGATGAAAGTACGGTAAACGTCCTGATTAATCTCGTACCCAGATCCTACTGTGTAACTGTAACTGAAATTACAACCGTCTGGCCGTGAAAGGTCTGGGTACAAGACAACATCCTGAACAAAACATGTTGAGATAGGAAGTGTGGTTTGGTGGTTCTCATCGGCTCCTTGAAATACTTTTCTTTTTTTTGATTGGCTTTTGTGCTGACTTTGTTTGGTTCGACGACGCTTAATTGAAAAGAGCTCTAAAAGTAAAAATTGATTCCTTCAGGTGCTGGTGTAATGTCGGACGCATTGGTGGAAAGACGTATCTATCAGTTGGATTTGGTTGTGAATACAAGCACGTGATGGTACATGAGATCGGTCACGCGGTTGGTTTTTGGCACGAGCAAAGTCGTCCGGACAGAGATAGTTACGTCCGGGTACTGAAACAGAATATACTGCCAGGTAAGTGTAGGTACTTCATTATTGTTATATGAAGGTAGCGATGTTATAAGAAGAACCATTTCACTCACTGTGTGTCTGTGTCTGTGTCTGTGTCTGCTTGTTCGTCTGTTCGTCTATCAGTCAGTCTGTCTGTCTATTCGTCTGTCCGTCTGTCCGTCCGTCCCTCTGCCTGCTTGCTGAATGTCTCTACTTCTCTTTAAAGGAGTGTAATATTAACCAACGATACATTAGATTTAAAAGATATGTTATGGCCGCGTGTGGATACAAATCTATCGTTGAGTGTTTATCATAACTTTCACGAGTGACCGAAGCACAGAAAGATAGACGTTATCAACAAGAGGAGATAAATTCGTCTCCACACGTGGCTATGTACCCTCTTGTTCCTAATATGACTGAATATTGATGAGATGTTTGAATCAAAGGCAACTTGGAAACACGTTTCAAGAGCACCGGATGTAGAGGTTACCTGAACTTAAATTCAGCTTGTAGAGATGCTCCTTAAACTTGTCAGGAGAGAAAGAAAGTTATCTAAAACAAAACAAAACAAAAAAATGGCTACTCTTTATAGTAGTAGAGGTTGATTTCTACCCTAGTAATATTTGCGAAGAAAAAATGGCCTGCACGGAAAGTTAAACTGCCTTATGATAAACCCGGTTGCCATAGTCCACGAAGGGGGGGCTCATTATTAGTGGGAGAGGTTTGCCGGGGGTCTGACACTAATAATGAAAGCCTGCACGTATGCTACAGTTGCCTTGACGACTATAATCGTATTCACGTGTAAAGATTTGGTGGGTATGCTCACTTCGCGTGTTCAGACATGGGAGAAATTTATTATTTCATTATTACTCAAAATAATAAAGCTAATTAAAACATGTTTTCTCCTGGTCAAGGTGTAGAAAGTGCTTTTGCTAAGTATGGCAGGGACAAAATAGATTCTCTTGGTTTACCCTACGACTACGGGTCTATCATGCACTATCCATTTAATGCTTTCTCCAAAAACGGTCAGCCAACGTTACAAGCCCTTAAACCATTAAACGGCAAGCAACCTTACCAAAACCTGAGTCCACTGGATGCTGAACAGACGGATTGGATGTATGGTTGTAACGCGAAGAAACGAAAACGCAGACAAAGTGGTAAATGTTGTTAAAGTTTTTGTCTTAACCCTTAAAATCCCGTGAGTGACCAAGACAGAATTCTTCCTAAAATATCAATACAATATCGAGCAGATTAGTGATGAGAATAAAGAAAAATATCAATTATGTTTATCAAGTTGATCCAATAACAAATCCTCTGAACAAACATCATAGAAATTGTTTGGAAAACAGTAAGAATAATTACCACTGGGATCCAGGGAGTCGGAGAGTTAATTAACTTTTTTGATAGTCATTTGGAACGTCTCAATCATTCTGCTTGTAGCCTCAACAACCCTGGACGTGTAAAAGTTTTGTTTGAAGCTCCCTGCATCCCGTATCAAATACAATAATTTCAAAACTTTTCATTGAAGGCATATTGGTTTAAACTAAGCGAATTTTCTGCAAGGCATTAATCTTGAATGCGAAAGGACAGTGCAATCTCTTCTCGCACTAAGCCGTCGCTGCATTATAAGACAAAATTTTTTGTGAGAAGAAATGAAAATGTTTTAAATGAAAGGGCCGCGGAGCTTCGATTTTACTTAGTTTCCTGATTGGAAGTAGGTCGGGGGTAACAACTCAGAGAGAGTTTAATTTTTTTATGGAAATTGTGGACAGTTTTATGGTCAACAGCAAGAAAAGTAGACAATCATTTGTATTATCTTAAACTGTGGCTGTGTTAATTTTCCAACAGCATGCTTCGATAGCACCCAAAATTGTTATTACTGGGCGCGAAGAGGGGAATGTAGACGAAATCCACGCTACATGAATCGTTATTGCAAAAGAAGTTGTGGAGTTTGTAAGTATCAGAAAATGATGAACGATTTTCCTTATTTGTGGAAATGTGTCGCTGATTGAGGTTGATGTTTGGGATTGGAGACTAGCTTGGACCTAACTGACGAACTCACAAGAGGATCAGCAGAGAATGATGATTGGATTTATTTTTCTAAGATAATTTTACACCAACACTTGCTCTCCTCGGTAATCTTCGGTTCACCCGTGAAAAAACACTTTTTGGTACGTTTTTGTAAGAAAAGATCGGTGTTGTTAAAAATGATAAGTCCTTATAAGTAGGCTTAGGTAAAGATATTCCTTCAGTGGTACTTTTTACGCATTTTTTTCTTTTAGAGGCGAACGGAAGTTAATTACTAGTCTCGTACCCAGACCTTCCACGGCCAAGCGGTTGGAAGAGATCCTACATTTTCGCCATAGTTACACGGAGTACGGAGTATCTGTTAAATACAGGATATTCACTAAAAAAGCATATCGCTGCAAATTCTTACAATTGTTTTATTGATATTATCCCTTGGCAGGTGGAACCACGGCAGTGTGTAGGGATAAAGACTATCGTTGTGCTACGTGGAGAAATTATTGCCGCACAAATTGGTACACAAGAACAAACTGTAAGAAAACCTGTGGGCTCTGCCCCAAGCCTCCGACGGTGAGACCGAAGCCACCAACAGTGAGGCCCAAGCCTCCGACGGTGAGAACGAAGCCACCAACAGTAAGGCCCAAGCCAACGACTGTAAAACCCAAACCACCAACGATGAAGCCGCAGACTCCTCCTCCACCAAAAACACCACCTCCTCCCAAAACCTCGTCTCCGCCAAACACGCCGCCTCCTCCTCAAACTCCTCCTCCGCCGAACACACCACCTCCACCCCAGACTCCTTCGCCGTCGAACACACCCCCTCCACCCCAGACTCCTCCGCCGCCGAACACACCCCCTCCACCCCAGACTTCTTCTCCGCCGAACACTCCTCCTCGTCCTCAGACTTCTGTTCCCAATACTCCATCCACGCATGCCCCTACCACATCATCTCCAGGGTGTTCCGCGGCTCTTGGGATGGAAGATTTCACCATCAAGGACAGTCAAATAACAGCGTCCAAGAGCGTTAACAGGTAAGTTGTTGGTATAATATGGGTCTTAAAGAGACCTCATCACCAATTATTTTTTGACAGTAACCAACAGGCCTGTTGATTGCATTCCCTTACATCTCATTATCTCGGTTAAAATCGAGTACAGCCATACCTACGGTTTCAAGTTTACCTCATGTTATTTTAAAGTGTCGTTTCTTATCCCTAATGCCTTTTATATGGTCACAATTTTGCTTCTAGGGATGTTCTCGATCCCTGCTAATTTGAACTAATATACGGTCGCCTGGCCCCTTAAAGTATCAGTATTTGTCAAATTTCAGATCAGTTTAAGCCCAGGTGAGAATAAAACCTCAAACGCACCCAGTGAGGTCTCTATGTTTCTTCTCTTTTAAACCAGGTTTC